TGCATCGCAGCCTCTAGAGCCCAAACCTCATTTCAATATTTGCGTCTCATCAGACGGCAGCCACGGACGCTGGGCTGGCTGAGGAGGAGGAGGCCCTCCAGACGGAGTCCACTTGGTGGTAATGATCTGCTGGAGCTGCTGATCCTGATTTCCTGCGAGCTGCAGAGATGAAACTAATCAGCCTCAAGATCCAAACAAATTCTAAAGAACAAATTCGGAATGAAAGGAAAAATGAAGGAGAAAAAGTAAAAAGTGTATAAATGAGGTCATATGTCCCCCCCCCCCCCCCCCCCTGGAAAATCAAACCTGAGTCAACTTATTAGAGCATTAAATAAACAGTGCAGAACAGCAGCTGCACAGTGTAAAACAAGCGGGAGCGTGAAGGTCTATAAAACACCACAGAGGGAATTAGAAACCATGTGATGCAAACGATGACATCACAGGAAATGAAATCTTTACTTTTATGCATTTGGAAAAAAACACCCAAAATAAAACATCAAGCCTAAGTTTCCAAACTGGAACCTGAAACAGAAACTACCTGAAATAAAAATGTAGAAACACAAACGTAGTAAATAAAAACCAACATTTACTAGTGGAACCATCTACTCATCCTGGAGGCAGGACGCCCCAGGACACGTGGCCCTCGCCCCGCTGCAGGTGCCGGTGAACCGGACTGAGACCAGAGAAGACACCGGACCGGATGGATGACCACATCAGAACTTTATTGGAGCTACAATTAAAAACAAGAACAGAACCATGAAGAAAACATCTGATGATCAATAAGGTGCAGACCGCTCCACGTGCTTGTAAAGGTCTCCATGCTGGTCTGAGATCAGGCACCAGAACCACCCAGAACCACCTCCCGTTGGACCTCTACTACTGCAGGCAAGAGTTCTGCTGAGCATGGTGGCTCGGTGCTGCCACCTGCTGGACCTTCACTAAAACCCTAACACCTTCTGCAGCTTCAACCATCCCATCCAATCAGCTGAAGGCCTGAGAAGGCTCCGCCTCAGAGAAGCACGCCTGCGCCCGGTGAGTCTGAGTGTTTTGGAAGCTGCTGCTGAAGATCAGAACCGGACCGGACCGGACTCCAGGCCGAAACGGCTCCTTTTTGCTGACTTGAGGTAAAATGTGCTCGTTGTGCTACATGAACGGGAAACGAGTCCCTATAGGTCCGACCTGACCTGTGTTCTGAGTCGGGTCTCAGCCCGGCCAGGACTTCCTGCTGGTTCTGCTGCTGGTCTGAGAGGTAACGGCAGGCTGCACTCAGCTGGACCCAGCTATCGCTAACGGAGCCAGATCCATTTAGACCAAACACAGGTTCCGGTCCAAGACCACCATCTGGGTCCGCCACACTCCTCAGAGCAGACTCTAGCAGGTCGGACCCGTCTGTGGCTGCAGCACCAAACCATTCCTTCTCAGAACCAGAATCCGGGTCACAACAAAAACTGGTTCTGAGTTTTAAACAGCTGCTGCATGCCGACATGCATCCTTCTGAGCCAGAACCAGAACACGCTGTGGCTGTAAACGTCATCGTTCGAATATTTCAGTACTTCGTCTAAAAACCGGGTGGTTCTGAAGAACAGAACCCAGTGTGTTTCCATGGAAACAGTCCCTTGTGGGTCTGTGTGTTTTGAGCCCTCTGGGCCACCGTAGTCTGTAGACCAGAGGAAAGCAAAAACAGTCACATTCAGTAGAAACGGTTCACATCCCACAGAGAAGGCACTGAGGAACACGCCGTGACTCGTGTTGTCTCGCGTGACTCGTGTTGTCTCGCGTGACTTTTGTAACACGAGTCACGCGAGACAACACGAGTCACGCGAGACAACACGAGTCACGCGAGACAACACGAGTCACACAGAACTGTACATGTGACACGCGACACGCCATCAGACCCCTGTATCGCGTTTAAAGCGTGCCACAACCCGTGCACGCGCATTGGGTCCACAGCGCGCGTGTGAACGGGACTCGCGAGCGGAAATATACATGGCGAGAGGTCATTTGTGCACTGAGAGGGAGCAAACTGTGTCTGTGAGCGCACAAGGATGTGCACAAGTGACAAACCTGCGTGCGCGCGTTGTCAACGAGCACACGGCAGAGGAAAACGTGCGCGCGCGGCAGCCTCTGTGCGCGCTCGGCAGCCTCTCTGCGCGCTCGGTTTCTGACTCCTGCTCGCTCGGCTGTAAGGGTTTTGGCACTCTGGAGGCGTGGCCTGTGGCAGATCTCCTCTGTCCTCTGATTGGTTAGTGTACCCGCACTTTACCCTCTACCTATCTATATAAAAAAGTCTACTAGTCAAGTAGTCGCTGGCATAGCTCAGTTGGAAGAGCGGGTGACTCTCGCCCCGGAGGATCCAGGTTCGAGGCCGGGCAAGGAAAATGCAGTAGATGTCATGTTAATTTTTCTTAATTTCAGGTATTTTACAGTTGTGACCGTTCAACTGTCATTAAACGTCCGAATGTTTGCTGGGCAGTGTTTTAAAAAGTGCACATAAGCTAGATGGTTTTAACCATATAAAATTACATTTTTTGTGATACTGGAAAAATACATACTGAAATAAAACTACTGATTGAAAACTTTATGACTGTGGTTGTACAATATATGACTCACTAATACACTGCAAACTCCCTTAGAGTGGGGCTTCCAGAGAGAGAGAGAGAGAGAGACAGAGAGAGAGAGAGAGAGAGAGAGAGAGAGAGAGAGAGAGAGAGAGAGAGAGAGAGACAGAGAGACAGAGAGAGAGAGAGAGAGAGAGAGAGAGAGAGAGAGAGAGAGAGAGAGAGAGAGACAGAGAGAGAGACAGAGAGAGAAAAGTTCTTGCCTCATTAATGAATTGTTTATTTTTTTCAGTATTTAATTGACAAATTATCCTTTCAAATAATTAATTGATGAGTTACATAATTGTCCATTTAGAATTGTTGAATGGACTGAGTCAAGTTTGGTGCACTTTATATATTTCAAAACATGTTTTTTTTTTATTTTAATGATGCATATAAATAATTTAAATGTTAATTTAATGAAATATTTCTAAAACATTTCTAAAAACATGTTTTGAAATATATAAAGTGCACCAAACTTGACTCAGTCCATTCAACAATTCTAAATGGACAATTATGTAACTCATCAATTAATTATTTGAAAGGATAATTCGTCAATTAAATACTGAAAAAAATAAACAATTCATTAATGAGGCAAGAACTTTTCTCTCTCTGTCTCTCTCTCTCTCTCTCTCTCTCTCTCTCTCTCTCTCTCTCTCTCTCTCTCTCTCTCTCTCTCTCTCTCTCTCTCTCTCTCTCTCTCTCTCTCTCTCTCTCTCTCTCTCTCTCTCTCTCTCTCTCTCTCTCTCTCTCTCTCTCTCTCTCTCTCTCTCTCTCTCTGGAAGCCCCACTCTAAGGGAGTTTGCAGTGTATTAGTGAGTCATATATTGTACAACCACAGTCATAAAGTTTTCAATCAGTAGTTTTATTTCAGTATGTATTTTTCCAGTATCACAAAAAATGTAATTTTATATGGTTAAAACCATCTAGCTTATGTGAACTTTTTAAAACACTGCCCAGCAAACATTCGGACGTTTAATGACAGTTGAACGGTCACAACTGTAAAATACCTGAAATTAAGAAAAATTAACATGACACCTACTGCATTTTCCTTGCCCGGCCTCGAACCTGGATCCTCCGGGGCGAGAGTCACCCGCTCTTCCAACTGAGCTATGCCAGCGACTACTTGACTAGTAGACTTTTTTATATAGATAGGTAGAGGGTAAAGTGCGGGGTACACTAACCAATCAGAGGACAGAGGAGATCTGCCACAGGCCACGCCTCCAGAGTGCCAAAACCCTTACAGCCGAGCGAGCAGGAGTCAGAAACCGAGCGCGCAGAGAGGCTGCCGAGCGCGCACAGAGGCTGCCGCGCGCGCACGTTTTCCTCTGCCGTGTGCTCGTTGACAACGCGCGCACGCAGGTTTGTCACTTGTGCACATCCTTGTGCGCTCACAGACACAGTTTGCTCCCTCTCAGTGCACAAATGACCTCTCGCCATGTATATTTTCGCTCGCGAGTCCCGTTCACACGCGCGCTGTGGACCCAATGCGCGTGCACGGGTTTTGACACGGATATGACGCGATACCCCTGGAGCTGAGGTAGAATCCACACGGACCAGCATCTTGGTTCTGATCCGAGAGCGTAGCCCAACCACTAACTACACAGATCAGTGAACTAGCCCCACCCCTGCTGCTGGGGTGGGCGGGGCCACGAGGCAACAGCCAATCAAAGGTCAAACAAAGAGGTATCGTAGTTACAGTGCAAAAGGACGAGCAGTTCAAGCTTCATACGACATCATAGCACCAAAAACAGAAGCATGCAGTTAACTGAGGTAACGAGGAAGAAGCTCGCCGACGCCGTTAGCAGGAAGCAACATTTAGCGTAACCAAGTTAGTCAAAACAAATAAAACAGGAGTCCACTCAGCCTCACGCCGTCATGAGTCTTGGCTCTGGAAGTGACGGAGCCGGGAACCGTGACTCCGCCCACAGCTCCATGGTAACGGCACAAACACGACATCAGTCAGAAAGCTGCCTGGACGTTTCTACAAAAGCTACAACATGCAACCAGGTGTGCTGCTGGAAAACTACAGTAACTGGGAATGTGGGGATTCCTATGGGACCGGGACCGCCGCAGCCATCCAAGGCCTCCTCATCGCCACCTTCGCTCCTCCGAGTCTTCCCGGTGTGACCAGGAACATGTCAGGTGTGGAGACAGAGCGGTGGCATCAGGTCCGTCACACCCAGCAGAACCAACAGTTCTCCTGTTCCAGTTTGTCCCACAGTGATGAAGATGATGATGATGATGGTGGTGGTCCCAGGTGCAGCAGCACACCTGAGCTCACCAACCCGACCACAGTAAAGCAGTAACGTGGTCCAACCGAACCAAACAGAAAAGATTGTGTCTGCGCAAAAAACAGGAACCAGGTGTGGCGTGAGCTTAGCACGATTTGCTGCGGCGCCTCCACGTCCCGTTCCCATTAGAGCGGTGGGAATGCCGTGGTCACAGCCGGTGGCTCTGCGCGCTCTCGGCTCAGTTGTTCTGGACCTGAGGTTGATTGGCTTTGAGGCTGCGCAGGGCTCGTCGGGCTGCGGCTGACTTGGCAATCCGGTAGCTGCGGCCCACTCCTTTAAACTTGCCCTTCCCGACCACCTCCACCGTCACTCGCACCTTCCCGTCGTACGTGCGCTCTGCAGGGCTGCAAACAGGACAGAGGACGAGCCGTTACACCACAGGTGGCGCATCACACACGATGGTGTGCTGGTGGCCTTCTACCTGAACTTGGCTGTTTCTGGTTCCATCTCCAGCAGCTCCCTGACGGGAGAACGCGGCACGTTAGCGGAGAATTTCTCTGCAAGAGAAGGAAGAGCGGTGAGAGACAGAAATCCTCCTCGGCCTCCTAACTTCCTGGTGACTCACCGATGAGAGGCCTCATCATCGGGTAATAGACCTTCCACACCGTCTCCAGAGACATCCTGCTGTCCATGTAAATGGCTCCAGCCAGAGACTCAAAGATGTCCCCCATTGCCTTTGGGACTTCGATGTCCTCCTCCTTCTCCTCGTCTTCTTCAGAGCGTCGCAGCTGAAGAAGAAAACACAGCTGCTTACTGACGGAAAGGGAAACAGACTGATGATCTTCGGCGTTCCCAGAGAGTGACGGAGAAAATCTTCATTAGTGAAGATCAGAACAACGCTGGTAGGAGCTACTGCTGGAAGATCAGGGTCTGGACCTGCTTCTGTGGGTTCTGATGACCCACGATGCACTTGTTCTGCAGAACCAGCTGGCTTAACCCAGGGTTTCCACAATGTGTCAAAATAAAAGCTGCCACACCTTCTGAATGAATGAATTAAAACAACGTACCTTCTGAATGAATGAATTAAAACAACGTACCTTCTGAATGAATGAATTAAAACAACGTACCTTCTGAATAAATGAATTAAAACAACGTACCTTCTGAATGAATGAATTAAAACAACGTACCTTCTGAATGAATGAATTAAAACAACGTAGCTTCTGAATGAATGAATTAAAACAACGTACCTTCAGAATGAATGAATTAAAACAACGTACCTTCTGAATGAATGAATTAAAACAACGTACCTTCTGAATGAATGAATTAAAACAACGTACCTTCTGAATGAATGAATTAAAACAACGTACCTTCTGAATGAATGAATTAAAGCAACGTACTTTCTGAATGAATGAATTAAAACAACGTACCTTCTGAATGAATGAATTAAAACAACGTAGCTTCTGAATGAATGAATTAAAACAACGTACCTTCAGAATGAATGAATTAAAACAACGTACCTTCTGAATGAATGAATTAAAACAACGTACCTTCTGAATGAATGAATTAAAACAACGTACCTTCTGAATGAATGAATTAAAACAACGTACCTTCTGAATGAATGAATTAAAACAACGTACCTTCTGAATGAATGAATTAAAACAACGTACCTTCTGAATGAATGAATTAAAACAACGTACCTTCTGAATGAATGAATTAAAACAACGTACCTTCTGAATGAATGAATTAAAACAACGTACCTTCTGAATGAATGAATTAAAACAACGTACCTTCTGAATGAATGAATTAAAACAACGTACCTTCTGAATGAATGAATTAAAACAACGTACCTTCTGAATGAATGAATTAAAACAACGTACCTTCAGAATGAATGAATTAAAACAACGTACCTTCTGAATGAATGAATTAAAACAACGTAGCTTCTGAATGAATGAATTAAAACAACGTACCTTCTGAATGAATGAATTAAAACAACGTACCTTCTGAATGAATGAATTAAAACAACGTACCTTCTGAATGAATGAATTAAAACAACGTACCTTCTGAATGAATGAATTAAAACAACGTACCTTCAGAATGAATGAATTAAAACAACGTACCTTCTGAATGAATGAATTAAAACAACGTACCTTCTGAATGAATGAATTAAAACAACGTACCTTCTGAATGAATGAATTAAAGCAACGTACTTTCTGAATTAATGAATTAAAACAACGTACCTTCAGAATGAATGAATTAAAACAACGTACCTTCAGAATGAATGAATTAAAACAACGTACCTTCAGAATGAATGAATTAAAACAACGTACCTTCAGAATGAATGTCGGGATATACATGAACCCTCTGGGGTAATTAGCCGTTTTGGACTAATTTAGAGTTTTCCTTTGTATTTCCAAAATAAAAGCCCTAACCACTGCCTTATGTGGTATCAATCTTTTCAGCACAACCTGGACTTTATGAATCTATACTTATTTTATTAATTTGGCAATAATGTACATGCATTTTGGAGTGGGGAGTGGCTCCGTCTCACGCCGCGGAGATCGAGATCTGCAGCTGCGCGGCGCCGCCCACTCCTCTTGTTGGATCTCCGAGGAGCTGGACCTCTGCCTTCATCCTCTACCTCATCATGACCCAACTCTTCTGTGAGGAAGGATGGATCTGCCACATCGTCATCAACATCCTCGCTGTTTGCCTCAGACTCCGGCTGTGAGTCTCCGCCCACTTCCTGATTCCAGTTAAAAGCAGCCGTACGATCTGAACTGCCTGGTGGGCATTTATCCTTCCCATCATCCTTTCTATAAGCCTAATAAAAGCCTACTGAACTGCAGAGACAACATATCTGTCCGGATCGCTCCAAAATATGAAGTTTACCGTCAACATCTGTCTAATTGTTTGTTGTTACTCCGCTCGCGCCACTCCTTCCCCGCGAAGCGGCTCTTTTTTGAGCACATCTCGTTCCTCGTGCGGCCCTCCTCTCTCTCTCTCTCAGCTACATAATGATGCTGTATGTGAGACTTCCACCAACAGCATAAGGATCTCATGTGTTCATGTTCACAAGCACGTTCCCTCTCACGGATTACTAAACTGCTGTTTTGACAAGTGATCAGATTGTCTACAAACAGGTGGTTTGTTAGTTTAGTATAACTCCGCGTTTACGTTGCCTAGTAACACAACTTAAACACTGGGGTGTAGTTTATAATCTCCTTTTTAAAGCTGAACTGAAACCGAAACTCATGGAGGCGGAGCCTTGCTGCTACAGCGTCCCAGAGGGTTAAAACAACGTAAAAAGGAGACTCACAGTCTTTATCTGTGCTTGTATACTAACCATCATCACAGTTTAAAGGAAACTTATGAATGTATTTTACTTTGAAAACCAGTACTGCCGGTTTTCCCCGTGTGAAGGAGCCGGCTTCTGTGCGGAGCGCTGCTCTGACGAGTAAAGGAAAGGCACCGGGAGAGAAACGGTACCTTACATTTTCATGTTTTTTATCCAGAAGCTGTTTCCTACATGGTCCAGCTCTGGTTCAGCGTCTCCAAAAGCAGCAACGCTCACGGACTCCCCCGCCCCTCTGTGACGCTGCACATGTGCCCGGGGCTTTCCACTTTCATGAGCAGAAACTGCCCGTGCAAGTCCGAGCCCACCCAGATTCATCCAAGTCAGACTCACCTCAGAGTCCATGCCCTGCATCTCATTCTTCTCCAACTGAAACTGCACAAAGTCGTCAATGACGTAGAACAGCTCCGGCGAGATGGACTTGAAATACTTGTGGTAGTCATATTTCACAGCCAGCGAGGCAAAGATGGTGTTGTTGACGAGTGCCGAGCGCAGGTCGGTCAGCACGCCGGGCGAGTGCTGCCGCGGGTCTTCGTAAAGGTGCTTCGTTATGAGGTAGTCTAAGATTGCATCGCCAAGAAACTCCAGTCGCTGGTAACAATCTGAGGAGACAGGGCCTGGGCTAAGGTCAAAGGTCAAAGCAGCATCAGGTTGAAAGTGTGACTGTGGCTTGGGTCTGACCAGTGATGGTGTTGTAGTGGTAGGAGGCGTGGGTGAAGGCCTGCAGCAGGTACGCCTTGTTCTCAAACCTGTAGTTGATTTTCTTCTCAAAGTTCTCAAAGCCAGAAATCAGGTGATGCAGCGTTCGCTCAGCGTCCGGATGGTCCAGCATGCAGCGCGGCGGAATCTTCAGCCAGCCGTAAGTCTGGTCCACAGCTGGGTGTGCACCACCAAGCACCACTGCAGCTCGCTGGAGTTCCCTCTCCACCGGTAAGACCTGCAGCCAGCAACAGTGATGAGTTTACATCCTGGTCCAAAACCAGTGAGACCAGAGCCTTCGGGACACACTCAGTACCGATACAGATGGGTGGTTTTATTCATGACTGCAGTGGGAGTGGCGGTACGGCTTCAAACATCCCTGAACACCTGGCTGAAAGTCTTATGGACCTGTAGCCATGCTGTCCCCACGTGGACAACTCGTGCCTAGATCAGGAGTTCTAAAGGATCTAGTCTTACTTTGATGCACCAATGCTTTCATAGTTGAACAGGAATACATGTCGTCAATGGGACTGTACGTGTCACACAGGAAATGAGGTCATCAGTAGCTATATTCACCCCTCCTCTTCCTCTCTGCAGCCCAACAACACGATGCCTTTCTGAGGGACGTCTTTTACCAGTGCATCTGCGACTCGGTGCACAAGTCACCATTGATGTAGATTGGGTTTACGTTCATAAGAATGAATTATAAAGAATTGCTACGAGTCAAAAAAGACACGAGTCCCACAACTCCCACTGAACGCGAGTCCCACAGGACGCAAGTTCCACAGGACACAAGTCCCACAGGACATGAGTCCCACAGGACACAAATCCCACAGGACATGAGTCCCACAACTCCCACTGAACGCGAGTCCCACAGGACGCAAGTTCCACAGGACACAAGTCCCACAGGACACGAGTCCCACAACTCCCACTGAACGCGAGTCCCACAGGACGCAAGTTCCACAGGACACAAGTCCCACAGGACACGAGTCCCACAACTCCCACTGAATGCGAGTCCCACAGGACGCAAGTCCCACAGGACACAAGTCCCACAGGACACGAGTCCCACAACTCCCACTGAACGCGAGTCCCACAGGACGCAAGTTCCACAGGACACAAGTCCCACAGGACACGAGTCCCACAACTCCCACTGAACGCGAGTCCCACAGGACGCAAGTTCCACAGGACACAAGTCCCACAGGACACGAGTCCCACAACTCCCACTGAATGCGAGTCCCACAGGACGCAAGTCCCACAGGACACAAGTCCCACAGGACACGAGTCCCACAACTCCCATTGAACGCGAGTCCCACAGGACGCAAGTTCCACAGGACACAAGTCCCACAGGACACGAGTCCCACAACTCCCACTGAACGCGAGTCCCACAGGACGCAAGTTCCACAGGACACAAGTCCCACAGGACACGAGTCCCACAGCTCCCACTGAACGCGAGTCCCACTGAACGCGAGTCCCACAGGACGCAAGTTCCACAGGACACAAGTCCCACAGGACACGAGTCCCACAACTCCCACTGAACGCGAGTCCCACAGGACGCAAGTTCCACAGGACACAAGTCCCACAGGACACGAGTCCCACAACTCCCACTGAACGCGAGTCCCACAGGACGCAAGTTCCACAGGACACAAGTCCCACAGGACACGAGTCCCACAAGTCCCACAGGACACGAGTCCCACAGCTCCCACTGAACGCGAGTCCCACTGAACGCGAGTCCCACAGGACGCAAGTTCCACAGGACACAAGTCCCACAGGACATGAGTCCCACAAATCCCACAGGACACGAGTCCCACAAGTCCAATAGGACACGAGTCCCACAGGACACAAGTCCCACAGGACACGAGTCCCACAGGACACAAGTCCCACAAGTCCCACAGGACACGAGTCCCACAAGTCCCACAGGACACGAGTCCCACAGGACACGAGTCCCACAAGTCCAATAGGACACTAGTCCCACAGGACACAAGTCCCACACCACACGAGTCCCACAAGACACAAGTCCCACAGGACACGAGTTCCACAAGACACAAGTCCTACAGGACACGGGTCCCACAAGTCCCACAGGACACAAGCCCCACAGGTCCCACAGCACACGAGTCCCGCAGGACACAAATCCTACAGTACACGAGTCCCACAGGACCCACAGGACCCACAGGACACAAGTCCAGCAGGACACAAGTCCAGCAGGACACAAGTCCTACAGTACACGAGTCCCACAAGACACGTCCCACAGAACACAAGTCCAGCAGGACACAAGTCCCACGAGTCCCACAGGACACAGGTCCAACAGGACACAAGTACCACAGCACACGAGTCCCGCAGGAAAAAGGTCCTACAGCACACAAGTCCCACAGGACACGAGTCCCACAGGACACAAGTCCCACACCACACGAGTCCCACAGGACACAGGTCCAACAGGACACAAGTACCACAGCACACAAGTCCCACAGGACACAAGTCCCACAGAACAGGAGTCCCACAGGACACGAGTCCCACAGGACACGAGTCCCGCAGGACACGAGTCCCACAGCACACGAGTCCCACAGCACACGAGTCCCGCAGGACACAGGTCCTAAAGCACACCAGTCCCACAGGACACAAGTTCCACAGGACATGAGTCCCACAAGTCCCACAGGACACGAGTCCCACAAGTCCCACAGGACACGAGTCCCACAGGTCCAATAGGACACGAGTCCCACAAGACACAAGTCCAGCAAGACACAAGTCCCACACCACACGAGTCCCACAGGACACGAGTTCCACAAGATACAAGTCCTACAGGACACGAGTCCCACAAGTGCCACAGGACACAAGCCCCACAGGACACGAGTCCCACAGGACACAAGTTCTACAGAACACAAGTCCCACAGGACATGAGTCCCACAAGTCCCACAGGACATGAGTCCCACAGTACACAAGTCCCACAGCACACAAGTCCTACAGGACACGAGCCCCACAAGTCCCACAGTACACGAGTCCCACAGGATACAAGTTCCACAGGACACGAGTCCCACAGGTCCCACAGGGCACGAGTCCCACAGCACACAAGACCCGCAGGACACAGGTCCTACAGCACACCAGTCCCACAGGACACAAGTTCCACAGGACACGAGTCCCACAAGTCCAATAGGACATGAGTCCCACAGGACACAAGTCCAGCAAGACACAAGTCCCACAGGACACAAGTTCCACAGGACAGGAGTCCCACAGGACACGAGTCCCCCAGGACACACATCCCACAGGACACAAGTTCCACAGGACAGGAGTCCCACAGGACACGAGTCCCCCAGGACACACATCCCACAGGACACAAGTTCCACAGGACAGGAGTCCCACAGGACACGAGTCCCCCAGGACACACATCCCACAGGACACAAGTCCCACAGCACACGAGTCCCACAAGTCCCACAGCACACGAGTCCTGCAGGACACAAGTCCTACAGCACACAAGTCCCACAGGACACAAGTCCCACAAGTCCTACAGCACACGAGTCCCACAGGACACAAGTTCCACAGGATATGAGTCCTGCAGGACACAAGTCCTACAGCACACGAGTCCCACAGGACACAAGTCCCACAAGTCCTACAGCACACCAGTCCCACAGAACACACATCCCACAGGACACGAGTCCCACAGAACACACGTCCCACAGGACACGAGTCCCACAGTACGAGTCCCACGGGACACAAGTTCCACAGCACACGAGTACCACAGGACACAGGTCCAACAGGACACAAATCCCACAGGATACAAGTCCCACAGCACACGAGTCCCACAGGAAACAAGTCTTACAGCACACAAGTCCCACAGGACACAAGTCCCACAGGACACGAGTCCCACAGGACACAGGTCCTACAGCACACCAGTCCCACAGGAAACAAGTACCACAGGACACGAGTCCCACAAGTCCCACAGCACACAAGTCCCGCAGGACACAAGTCCTACAGCACACGAGTCCCACAGGACACAAGTTCCACAGGACACGAGTCCCACAGGACACAAGTTCCACAGGACACGAGTCCCACAAGTTCCACAGGACACGAGTCCAACTGCACACCAGTGCCACAGGACACAAGCCCCACAGAACAGGAGTCCCACAGGACACGAGTCCAGTATTGTTATATCGTAGAACTTTTTGGAGGATGAGTACAGGAACCCAGCTACCTAATGCTGGGAGGGCACCCCTAGACCTCTGGTCTTGGTCTGGATCAGAGCTCATGCTCTGTCAGACAACCCGGGCAGAAAGAACCAACTCACCTTCAAGCCCAGAGAGCAGAGGAACATCTGGGCAGCTCTCTCGCCACAGCTGGTCAGATAGCAGCCCAGAAGAGCCTCCACGCAGTCAGCGATGCTCTTGTCGGCAATGCACTGCTCCGTGTGCAGGTCGTAGGAGATGGACTGCTTCCCTAGATCAGTGCCGCAGTTCTCCTCCGATGGGTTCCAAAACCCCACCACAAAGTCATCTTCCTCCCCCACCTTGCTAGGGTCCAGGTAACACATGGCGTCCCAAGAGCTGTAATCGAATTCCTCAGCTGCTATCGCTTGCTCAGCAAAATGGGCAGGCTTCTTGGGGGCTTTCCATTCATAGGAGGGGTCCAAGGAGGGGGAGGAGCCTGAAGCTGGGCTGGGGGAAGGGGGAAAGGTGCTCAGAGAGATCTTCTTTCCAAAAGCGCCAGAGCCCAGAAGCATGTTGTCGATAAAGCGGATGTGCTCCTTGTAGTACTCCAGGTCATCCTCCATGTTGACGTCATCTTTTGGCTCATCTTTCAGCAACAACTCATCTTCATCCAAGTCCTCACCCACATCATCCCGCTCCTCATCTTCAAAGTCATTCACAGACCTCCCGTTGGACACTAGCTCCTCTCTCGCCTGGAAGAAGAGGACATCAGTCAGCTTCATTATGAAGGTCGGGTCAGAAACAGAGTCGTTACAATATCCCTTTTTTAACCTGGCTGTAAAAATACAACAAATTAGTAAAACAATGCCTGGACTAGAGCCGATTGTGAAGAACCGTGAACTGCAATGCAGTCTCTCTTAAAAAGGACTTGGACTGGACAAGTCACAAGGGACAGAAAAAAGGGAAAAGCCACAAAAGACCAACGAGGTCCTAACCCCACCCCCTCTTTCACCCGACATGTAAGCGTCGCGTAACGTCTGTTAAACGTACTTCGTAGCAATAAGCCGTCGTTATGGCGGACGGGTTCCTTTCCATCGGCCGTGAAGCATCAGGTTTTAGACGCATCCCAAAAGCCTTAAGACGTGTAATGTACTTCCAGAACGCATCACATTCTACAGTTCAGATCCGGTCAGTCAGTAAATCAAACATGAAAGCAGTGTAAAACATCAACACTTTCAAAATAAAAGTCATGTGCAAATTTCCAGCTGCTTAACTAGTAACCTTGCAGGAGCAGCTGTGTGGGGTTTGCTCTCCTTTTGCATATGCCACCAGTTGGATGGGAGCTTGTGGGTTAAACGTCACTTACATGCATCCAATGTACAGGCTGGACAACCCTAGAGTACTACAACTGTACTAGAATGTAGTACATGTCAGCCGGAGGGTAGTAGAACTTAAGGCTGAAGCTCAGCGGTCGCTAGTGATAGTTACAATCGTTAAGCTAATTCAGGCTTGGTGATGGATGTTAGCATGTAGGCTCAAAGCCGGGGGCTAGCCAGCTTGTTTCGGTACCACAGAGTTTGATACCCGACTTCCCTAGACAGACAGCAGTGCATGTGCAAGAGCCTAACGTCGTCAGTCGCTGCAGGCCAGATGTAAGCACAGCTAGCAGCATAGTAGAAAGAACGTTCTCTAAAGTTTGGGTCCACTAAATGCGATGTGAGACTGGGTGATGACGACAATGACAACGTTGTACATGAGGCATCCCTGTTGCCAGTAGTCTCCTTTAAGGACACACTTTCACCATTTGGCTTTCTTCTGTGGAGTCACAAGTCAGTCTTTGTTTTATTGTGATTTTATTTTTTTACTGTGCTGCAATTCCTAAGTTCACTTTCATTATTACTCATTTGACCTTTTTTTAGTGTGTTTAAATATTATTTAACTACGCTTTTGGGTCATTATTGTGAAAGTGTACAGGACCATGGGCTACTACAAAGGTAGTGGAAGGTGCAATCGAAAATGTCGACTTTGGATAGGAAAAGTCTATTGTTAGAAAATGAATGTCAAAAGGAATGAAGATCCAGGGTAAAGGGTTAGTGCTTGGTACCAAATCGATTCAAATGTCCAATGTACCCATCCCTAGTCACGGACGTGTTAACGTTTATGTCACGACTTTTTCGTTCTCCAGTTTGTTACGCGTCTGTCGCTAGATACGTCCGCTTCCGTCTGTCGCTAGATACGGCCGCGTCTGTCTGTCGCTAGACACATCAGCGTCTGTCTGTTGCTAGACACGTCTGCGTCTGTCTGTTGCTAGATAAGTTCACGTCTGTCTCTAGCTACGTCTGCGTCTGTCTCTAGCTACGTCTGCGTCTGTCTCTAGATACGTCCACGTCTGTCAGTCTCTAGATACATCCACGTCTGTCAGTCGCTAGATACGTCCGCCTGTCGCTAGATACGTCAGCGTCTGTCTCTAGATACGTCCGCGTCCGCCTGTCGCTAGATACGTCCGCCTGTCGCTAGATACGTCTGCGTCCGCCTGTCGCTAGATACGTCCGCGTCTGTCTCTAGATACGTCCGCGTCCGCCTGTCGCTACATACGTCCGTCTGTCTCTAGATACGTCCGCGTCCATCTGTCGCTAGATACATCCGCCTGTCGCTAGATATGTCCACGTCCGCCTGTGGCTAAATACGTCCGCGTCCACCTGTCGCTAGATACGTCCGCGTCCGCCTGTCGCTAGATATGTCCGTGTCCGCCTGTCGCTAGATACGTCCGCCTGTCGCTAGATACGTCCGCGTCCGTCTGTCGCTAGATACGTCCGCCTGTCGCTAGATACGTCCGCTTCCGTCTGTCGCTAGATACGGCCGCGTCTGTCTGTCGCTAGACACGACTGCGTCTGTCTCTAGATACGTCCGCCTGTCGCTAGATACGTCCGCGTCTGTCTGTAGATACGTCCGCGTCCGCCTGTCGCTAGATACGACCGCCTGTCGCTAGATACGTCTGCGTCCGCCTGTCGCTAGATACGTCCGTCTGTCTCTAGATACGTCCGCGTCCTTCTGTCGCTAGATACATCCGCCTGTCGCTAGATATGTCCGCGTCCGCCTGTGGCTAGATACGTCCGCGTCCACCTGTCGCTAGATACGTCCGCATCCGCCTGTCGCTAGATACGTCCGCGTCCGCCTGTCGCTAGATACGTCCGCGTCCGCCTGTCGCTAGATATGTCCGCGTCCGCCTGTCGCTAGATACGTCCGCCTGTCGCTAGATACGTCCGCGTCCGTCTGTCGCTAGATACATCCGCTTGTCGCTAGATACGTCCGCGTCCGCCTGTTGCTAGATACGTCCGCCTGTCGCTAGATACATCCGCCTGTCGTTAGATATGTCCGCGTCCGCCTGTGGCTAGATACGTCCGCGTCCGCCTGTCGCTAGATACGTCCGCGTCCGCCTGTCGCTAGATACGTCCGCGTCTGCCTGTCGCTAGATACATCCGCGTCCGCCTGTCGCTAGATATGTCCGCGTCCGCCTGTCGCTAGATACGTCCGCCTGTCGCTAGATACGTCCGCGTCCGTCTGTCGCTAGATACATCCGCTTGTCGCTAGATACGTCCGCGTCCGCCTGTTGCTAGATACGTCCGCATCCGCCTGTCGCTAGATACGTCCGCCTGTCGCTAGATACGTCCGCCTGTCGCTAGATACGTCCGCGTCCGCCTGTCGCTAGATACGTCCGCGTCCGCCTGTCGCTAGATACGTCCGCGTCCGCCTGTCGCTAGATATGTCCGCGTCCGCCTGTCGCTAGATACGTCCGCCTGTCGCTAGATACGTCCGCGTCCGTCTGTCGCTAGATACATCCGCTTGTCGCTAGATACGTCCGCGTCCGCCTGTCGCTAGATACGTCCGAGTCCGCCTGTCGCTAGATACGTCCGCGTCCGCCTGTCGCTAGATATGTCCGCGTCCGCCTGTCGCTAGATACGTCCGCCTGTCGCTAGATACGTCCGCGTCCGTCTGTCGCTAGATACATCCGCTTGTCGCTAGATACGTCCGCGTCCGCCTGTCGCTAGATACGTCCGCGTCCGCCTGTCGCTAGATACGTTCGCATCCGCCTGTCGCTAGATATGTCCGCATCCGTCTGTCGCTAGATACATCCGCCTGTCGCTAGATATGTCCGTGTCCGCCTGTGGCTAGATACGTCCGCGTCCACCTGTCGCTAGATACGTCCGCCTGTCGCTAGATATGTCCGTGTCCATCTGTCGCTAGATACGTCCGCCTGTCGCTAGATACGTCCGCCTGTCGCTAGATAAGTCCGCCTGTCGCTAGATAAGTCCGCGTCCGCCTGTCGCTAGATACGTCCGCGTCCGCCTGTCGCTAGATACGTCCGCGTCCGCCTGTCGCTAGATACGTCCGCGTCCGTTTGTCGCTAGATAGGTCCGCCTGTCGCTAGATATGTCCGCGTCCGCCTGTCGCTAGATACGTCCGCGTCCGCCTGTCGCTAGATACGTCCGTGTCCGCCTGTCGCTAGATACGTCCGTGTCCGCCTGTCGCTAGATACATCCGGCTGTCGCTAGATACGTCCGCGTCCGTCTGTCGCTAGATACGTCCGCCTGTCGCTAGATACGTCCGCCTGTCGCTAGATACGGCCACGTCCGCCTGTTGCTAGATATGGCCACGTCCGGCTGTCGCTAGATACGTCCGCGTCCGCCTGTCTCTAGATCCGTCCGCGTCCGCCTGTCGCTAGATACGTCCGCCTGTCTCTAGATACGTCCGCCTGTCTCTAGATCCGTCCGCGTCCGCCTGTCGCTAGATACGTCCGACTGTCTCTAGATACGTCCGCCTGTCTCTAGATACGTCCGCGTCCGCCTGTTGCTAGATACATCCGCGTCCGCCTGTTGCTAGATACGTCCACCTGTCGCTAGATGCGTCCACGTCCGCCTGTCTCTAGATACGTCCACCTGTCGCTAGATACTTCGATACATCCGCCTGTCGCTAGATACTTTGATACATCCGCCTATCGCTAGATAAGTCGATACGTCCGCCTGTCGCTAGATACGTCCGCGTCCGCCTGTCGCTAGATACGTCCGCAGCCGTCTGTCGCTAGATACGTCCGCGTCCATCTGTCTCTAGATACGTCCGCCTGTCGCTAGATACGTCGACACGTCCGCCTGTCGCTAGATACGTCCGCGTCCGTCTGTCGCTAGATACGTCCGCGGCCGTCTGTCGCTAGATACGTCCGCGTCCGTCTGTCTCTAGATACGTCCGCGTCCGTCTGTCTCTAGATACGTCCGCGTCCGTCTGTCGCTAGATACGTCCGCGTCCGTCTGTCGCTAGATACGTCCGCGTCCGTCTGTCGCTAGATACGTCCGCGTCCGTCTGTCGCTAGATACGTCCGCGTCTTTCCGTCGCTAGATACGTCCGCGTCTTTCCGTCGCTAGATACGTCCGCTTCCGTCTGTCGCTAGATACGGCCGCGTCTGTCTGTCGCTAGACACATCAGCGTCTGTCTGTTGCTAGACACGTCTGCGTCTGTCTGTTGCTAGATAAGTTCACGTCTGTCTCTAGCTACGTCTGCGTCTGTCTCTAGCTACGTCTGCGTCTGTCTCTAGATACGTCCACGTCTGTCAGTCTCTAGATACATCCACGTCTGTCAGTCGCTAGATACGTCCGCCTGTCGCTAGATACGTCCGCGTCTGTCTCTAGATACGTCCGCGTCCGCCTGTCGCTAGATACGTCCGCCTGTCGCTAGATACGTCTGCGTCCGCCTGTCGCTA